TTAGATTGTGGTCATAGAGAACAGAAAAAGAAGCAATATTTGCATATCATTTTATCCATGTTTATTATCTATTGTGTGAAAAGCTTCATACATGTATAAGTGACAATAACACTTTTCAGGTGATCAATTCTACCAATTCTATTATTTTTTTCAATTATCACAAATAATTATTATTATTTGTTCTATAATATAAGTAATTTGGTATAAATTTTATAATTATTAGTTATTGGAATAAAAAAATAGATTGTGGTATTCACCAAACTAAAAAATCGTAAAACTTAATGGAGGCAATTGAACAAACTAATGATGCTTTTATGGTATGTATGCGTGACAGGAATCACTCTAAAAAATAAAAAAATTAAAAATTATACATTTTTGTGTAAAAATAAGTGTGACTTTTTTTGTTATGTTTCGGCTGTGGATGAATACAATTCCCAATGTTTGTTTAAGCCCACATGAACAGAGAAAAGCAGGAGTAGAGAACATTTGAAAAAGACACACAGTTGCACCATTCCTGAATAATAACACACAAAAAATACACAAAGAATGATGACACATAATCAGGATCTACATTACAGTGTGATGACATCAGAAAAATTACAATGTGAACATTTTAAATAGAGAAGACAATGCACTGTGGCAACATCATAACTAGAATGCAAGTACCACATTGCACCCTGGGAATACCAGAATGCACATAAGGTTTCATTTATAAAGAATAATGTTGAAATCTGGAAATAATTTTCAAAATTCTCTTTTGATTCTCATTTTTAGAAAGCATATATTGCAGCACTGAGTAGCTAGCTTCTTATGATAAGAAAGTAAACAAATTTAAAGGTAAAAACACAGTGCAATTTAGCCTGGTAGTTACAATTCTACATGTGTACCCCTAATTCTACAACTACAATATGTTACATATTGTGAGATTAAAAAAGTATTTGACCACCTCAGCCAAGAATACTACCACCAGTGATACAATGTATGACTGTTACACTTACTTTCTGAGCTTCTAGTGCATCCAACCATAGCTGTTTTTCTTCCAGTGTTGCTGCCTTGAAATACCATACACTGTCATTAACAGTTACATCAAATCTCAATTCATCAAATTCATGAAGCTAGTAAAATAGAAATAAACAGAGTGATTGATAATAATAACTGTATATACTGCAAAGTTTCAACCAGTCCATAGTGGAGATCAATGTGTTCCTACACTGCCTAAGTGCATACTTTGTGATATTCTTGTGATAACTAGCCTACATACACTAGACAAAAATGTGCATGTCAGGGTTAATTTTAAGATCAGGCAATCAAACTATGTAGGTTTAACTTTGTCTGCCATAGCACTATGCAGGTCTTTGGTTGTGGCAATTGCCTGACCATATGATTCAAACTTCTGACACAAAATTTGCTGTAAATAGTCTTTTATAGTACTCATCTCAATTGAAGTAAGGTGACTTGGGAGAAGGAAGGGGTTATATATAAAAAAAAATCATATCCTTCACATCCCTTTGAATAGACTAGGATGCATTGATAGCGATTCCTGCTCCTCAATCAGAAAACAAGTGGGTGGAGTGCCATGCCATGTTTTTCCATGATACATGTCTGAAGGCAGCCACGTACTTGACCTCCCTCCATACTCACACGTGATTCAAAATTTGCAGTGGGAGAACGAATGTAATGCTCCTATATCTAAGAACGTCGTGACATACGTCGTCTAAACAGACGGTGGCAGGACCCAAGAATATAAAGGAATACATGCTTTATATACATCGATTGACTCGATGTCCAAATAACTCTAGTGAACCTACCTGTATGTCTGCCTTCGCTAGGCTCATCGATCCACGGCAGCCTGCAGTAATATCATTCTTCGATTTATAGTAACTCATAGTACCGCCTTTCAATGATACCCACCGATCTTGCCACCCATGGATGTAGTTCGTCCATTTACTAAGGTTCCCCTCGTGTTCGTGGACGTATAGTCCGTCTTCGAACTCCTCATCCTCGTCTGAGCTGCGGTCGTCCGACATGATAAATCAACTTGACTCGTCAAGTAGAAATATATGGTGCAGATCTCGATAGTTTGATATGTAGGCTGAGCTGTAAATTCTATTATCTTCTATGATCAGACTTCTACTAAATATTTCAACAGAAAATCTTAAGTTTACAACTCAAACAGTCGCCATTTTACTACATGCTCACGTGACTAAATTATGACGTATGCCCAGAATTCCCTGTGATGAATCAGGTGGACAAGCGTAATGGCGCGGGTAATGAATAACTGTTGGTCGTGGATAAACTGAAGAAAGAAAAAATAAATATAATTGCCATGACGACTAAAAATTAGTATGTACTGGAATTGGGAAAAACACGTTAAAAAATATTGTCAGACATGGATAAGATACTTATTTTATGGAATAACAATGACTGTTATTCTGTGAAACTACGAGGTTGTTCCAACTTGCTCAAGATGCTGAACAGTTCGAGTTACAAAAACGACCACGCCCATATTCTAGAAACCACGCCCACTTTTAAAAACCCATGTTAAATTGTAACTCGATGTTCAACTACCGGTTAATCAAACATAACTTGTTACTATTGTTTAACGTCCACATTTTGTAACTCGAACTTTATTTAACTGCAAGTTACTGGAAATATACATTTTTTTATTTCATTTAACGTTTTATATTTCACGTAATTCGATTAATTGTTAATTAACATTCGATTTGCTAAATTCGAATGATAAACAAATTAAAAAATGTATGTTGCCCATAACTCCGAGTCGATGTATGGTTGACTGTTAATTAAAGTTCGAGTTACTAAATGTGGACGTTCAACAAAAACAAAAATTTTGTTGTTCGTAACTCGAAGTTCTGTTAACTGTAAATTGAACATCGAGTTACAATTTGGACGAGGTCTGGCAAAAGTGGGCGGGGTTACAAAAATATCCACGTCGTCATTTTTATAATTCGATGCACATTCAGCACCTCAACTTAGTCAAACATTTTTTATATGTGGAAACTTAGAGTGGTTTAATTATTAAAACATCCATCACTAACGATCAAATACTAGTGGTCGTTAGCCAATAATTGTCCGACATTAATACTTCTGTTTTACGGTTATTCTTTAAAAAACTAGTATTTTACATTGTTCAGCATTATTTATAATATATGTTTTCGTCTATATTGTATGTTTAATTGTTTATTTGCCAACCATTCGTTTATTAATCCTTTGTTCATTGCTCAATACTACGATGTGTCTACATATTGCTATTATTGACAAATTAATTTATCTAAGCTTGACAATAGTTTTAATAAATTTACTGTAGAATCGAAATCACCAATTGAGGGCGCGATTTACGATTGCCGTCAGAATTATTTTTCAAAGAGAAATAATCTTGGTGTTCTTCCTATTTTTTGCGATTTTATCGCCTCATTGAATTTACTATTTACGCTTAGAACAATTTCCGGGTTAATGGAAATGTATGACTACATTTTATTTATTTCCTTCTACAAACTGCCACTCGATTAGATCGTCCGAAAATATAATTTGTCATCTCTGTACGAGAGATGTTAATAATATTCTACAGAATAACAATCTGTCTTACAAGGGAAACAACTGAACTTACTATTATTTATCTGAACCTTAACGAGTGATAGTAGTATCATCTCTATGATTATGAAACAGTTTTATTAAATAATTGATATATTAATTCCCCCTGTCAATGGCTGATACAACTTGAACTCGCATTCAAAACTGATATGAAATCGCCCTAAATACTAAATTGTCTTCACTCTCGCTCACAATTGACATATGTAGCTGTGGTAAGGCTTTTAGTTGTGTACATATGTAAACACTGTCATTGTGTCTTTTAATTGTAGGAGACTCCAAGGCAAATACAACATACTCAGACTGGAACATTCTGCTCGTCGCAGTCACTCCGGTTGTCATATGTGTCTTTGATTCTTTCGGAAAACAAGAACAATTATTTCCTTACTAACGCCTTGGTTGAGCCAGGCCCCTATCTATTTATCTATTAAGAACATCTCGCACACGTGTTACCCAATTTGTTTCTCACAAACGTCATTACTTACCAATGAGATATGAGCATTTTTTGCAATTTTGTTATTTAACATTAGTAATAGTTCTAATTACCATTTAATACATTGAACATACGTTACAATAAAAACATGGATCCGACATAGCTAACCGATTGGAGTGTTCATATTAGCACCTAATAATCGTGTGGTATTTAATTCCAACAACAAGTCGTAAACTAATATTGATCAGACCATAATGTCAAAAATATTAAAATATATGTTCCACGGATGTTCTCTTATATTTTCGTATAAAGGTTAATAAGTTAATAATATGCAATGATTTGGTCAGCTTTAGTTTGCTTTGCTTAAGACCAAACGTTTCTATTAAAAAACACACCAAGACACTTATATGTTATGGCCCCTTTACAACCATTTTTCGAAACTTCTTAATTTCCCACCATTTGCAAATAACATGATATTTTTTGTCTTGTCAGTGAATCAACTAAAACGTTCAACAACCTCTGTTAGTCAAAAATAGTACTTTCAGAAAGTAACTTGAATACATCATATTCGTAAAGTAAAAAAAAATAAGTCATATTATTTGTGTTTCTACCCCCCCCCCCCCCCGTTTCACGAAACTTTGCTTTGAATTAAGATGAAAACGTGTTTTGTCTGCTTTATACCTGGGGCTTTGTACAACTTTATCAATATCTAAATGAGCATACAATTACACCAACAATAATAATTACCTTAAACTTAGCTTTAGTAAATTACAATGACACTAGTATTTTTACATTTAAAACATTTTTTTTTGTAGAAATGCACTAAAACGTCTTGGGATATCTGGTGAATGGTTTGCGACCTGTAAAGATTTCGATAGCGCGCCACCAACGTCACAGGCATCGGAAGACGGCAAGATCAGAGCATTTTAATGGCGGATAATTTGATTTTCCTCCCCGATATATATTTAATTGTTGTTAAATGGTTGAAATTTATTCGTGTCGAGACCTTATCTCTTTATCTAGAAGTGGTGGAAGATCATTAAAGACTATCAAAGATCTGGTATAATTGGTAAATTCATTGTTATAATATTGTTTCGATCCTGCGCAGGTCAATCCACTCTCTGGTGTTTCTGCCTACTGAGTCGAGATATCCTTTATTTATTATCAGGGACTTTGTGAAGCAGTCCCTCTACGGACTGTGTGCCAAGATACTAACATTGTGGTGCTGTCTTGCTTGTTGGAGGTACTCGATTTGTATTCTGGTTGGGATTGCTTAACAGTCAGCTGAACACAAAAGGATGGACATGAAGGGCAGTTTGCTAAAAAATATTGACTCAACCAATAGAATGACAGAATTTATAAATGTTTAGTTCAGGGAAGTGTTCATAAATTCACCTGCTCTCCCATTTAGAATCTCAACAATTAATTAATTAATAAATTAATAAAAACTAATTGCCAGTTGTTACATTGATGGTGATCATCTCATTTCAACACTGACAGTGCAGTCATGGATGCTAGGGATATTGATTCTGATAGTTGCCATGACAACGAGGATGAGAACTGGTTGGAAACTGGGTGGAGTGAAGAAAATCCATCATTCTGTGTAAATCAAAATTATTCCAAAATGAAGACACCATCTCCAAGACATTCTATGTGCAAAGATAACTTAGGTATGTATGTGTAAACATTTATATACAGTTTATAAAATATAATCTGAGGATGCTACTTTTAAACGAAGTAATTACAAGTTATCATATTTTGATTATAGAGAATGAAGATATTTACATACACCAAACTCCCGCACCCAATAGGCAATTATAGAGGGACTTTGCAACGTCCCCAGACACTTTCCTTGATGGTACATTGACTGTTGTACATGCAAAATTGTTATTGATACTGCAGTATGTTAATTTAGAGATTTAGAGACATGATGTCACCAGCATTGTAAACTACATCCCAAATATATGCTTGGAAAAAAAAATAATGACACGAAAATTCGAACGGAAATGAATCGGTGAGAGGCCATCTTTATTTTGCCATCTTTATTTTAAACGGAAAAAGTGATGCCTAAATATGATACGTATACTTTATATAATATAATAAAACAAACACAATGAACCGATCCACCAACTACAACTGGGTTTAAACTATCCAATAAACGAAAAAACATTGATCTTTCTAAAACACATGACGAATAGAAGGGGCCAACCGGTAAGGTGTTACAAGTGTTCCAAGTTGCGATCTCTAAGTGCGATATTCACGAATAATAATGTCAATATGCCACCATAAAAAGACTTGCTGGCTAAAGAATTGTGTTGAGCTTCTAAATCTATATAAAGTGTCAACATATATATATTTTTTCGGTTGTAAAAACTAGAATATGAAGGGAACAATGAATCGATCGTTTCAATAAAAAGTTCTGCTTTTAAGAGACTGCTTCGCGGAAAGCCATATCCAGCGCAATCCGAGCACAGCGAGTAATTCACACCTTGGACAATCGCTGTTTCCAGACCGGGGATAGAGGGACTGTGGCTACATGTATGAAATAACCATATGTCAGCTTTATTTATGCAGTGGAACAAAAGTTGTTTGTGTTTCCAAATACTGGCTAGCGCTTATGTGCACAAGATTTATGGAAAGATTATCAATTGTTTATTCATTTTGCAGGCACAAGTGCAAAGCAAGCCATGAGGGGCGCTGTCACACAGGATGAGTCAAACAAAACAGATAGTAGCAAAGGTGTGATGTCATTGATGGGGTTAAACACTAACAAGGCTGGAATGGAAGGACTTGACAAGGAGAAAATTAACAGTATTATACTTCAGGCTTCCAAAGGATCCAAATTTTATGAAAATGAACAGAAGAAAGAACAACTACTGAATAACAAAATAGAACAAATGAAAGAACAACTAGGAAAACTTACGGAGCAAGAGAAATCCATGGCACTGGTTGAGGTATTTATGTTTTTAAAGAATTAACTTTTGAATCTACAAACATTTTTTAGTTAGTAGTTATAAATTGTAGCATTTTAAGTTTTGCATCAAAGATTCTCATTATATTTTATATTCAATATTTATTCATGAACTCAAACATTTCTCATTTTCTAGTAAAAATGGTTACTGTTAACTGCACACAGCAAAAACTTATATGCCAACAATTTTATGAAGTTCTTGCCTACGTGGCATGGCATGGCATGGTATGGAGAGGCATGGCGAGGCATGGCAATGAATGAATTATAATAATATATTACTCTTTACAAAACAATTCATTGTTGAATTAACCATGAATTAGAAATACTAAAACCAAAGAATAACTAAACTGCATTGCCTGAGGATGCACCACTGCAAAGAAATGAAAGTCATGAAAGCCACAATTATGGCTGGAGATAAAATAAATTGTAACAGGAGTTTTTCAGTATTGCTGATCTTGTCCAAAATAACTTAACATATTGAAAGTAGAGAAAATCAAATGAAATCAAGTATTGTATGAAAAATGAATATGGGAGCTAACCCAAACATCCATATATTGCTCATGGGTTACTCAGGAAAACCAAGCACCTCTACATCCTGGCAAGTTTGGTATTTGCAGGTTGTTTATGATGTCCTCTAATGAGAAAATGATGTCAACCCACTCAAAAATCATCATGTGATATAACAAATGAAAAAGATTTCAAGTCAATTAAATAGGAAAAATAATCAAATCTCCTGCTTTTATAATAAAAGTAATGATATCTCAGACTCCATTTCTCCAATTTTAATTCATCTATTTGTAGTTTCCAGAGTTGTATTATTAGTATTAACCTAAATACAATGATTATTTTTTTAGGTAGATAAAATGGTTTTGGAATTAAAAGCACAACGAGATTTGACTCGAACTATAGTTCATATTGATATGGATATGTTCTATGCTGCAGTTGAAATGAAAGATGATCCCACACTCCGAGATAAACCAATGGCTGTGGGTAGTATGGGCATGCTGGTAAGAAATGTTTTATTAAAGTCTCTCTTTAGGTCCGCCCATCTGTCCATATTTAGCCGTATAGCACATGCTTGGCCTGATTAAGTTCAAACTTCACACATACATTAGACGTTATATCAGACATATGCACATGCATTAATGATTTGTTTATATTTATCCTGTACTTGTATCAATATGCTATGCTAATCACTATTTCATTTATACTTCCATATTTTTGTCATTCACATGTTGTTACTAAATTGCACTATTCATAAAAACTGCATACTGCCCTGTGAAAGTGGGCAAATGTTTAGACATTAAAACTAATATCCATGATATTTTACACTTGTCAAATGAAATACCTTAGAAGAACACAGTTTGTGGTGTCTTTTATGCAAAATACATTGTGTTTGAGATCGTGGTCTTTGCTGTACAAATACAGACTATTTTCTATTTGGATCTGATAGGCAACTATGTTAAGGTTATCCACACTTTTCAGAAATGACTTATTGATTTCAATCAAATATAAAATGAAATCTTAGACTTAGTGTTGCCCTTAGAAGGAGACTTGGTCTGTATTTTTTCTCTAGCCCTACTTTTCTACAGTAATTGTACCAAAGTAATACATAAAATTACCACCTGTATTTCAAATTCACTCTCACTTAAAATTATAATTATGGTCTTTTTTTGTGCTGTTTTTTTTCCTCACATGACTTACTTCATATTATAATCATAGTAAGTCATTTTTGAAAATTGGCAAAAGGACATATATTTACAATAAATTGTTATTAAGAATATTATATTTGTTACCATGTTCATGTTTTCTTTCAACAGTCTACATCCAATTACAAAGCTAGAAGGTTTGGTGTGAGAGCTGCTATGCCTGGATTCATAGGCAAAAAGTTATGTCCGGAATTAATTTTAGTGAAACCTAATTTTGTTAAGTACCGAGCTGTGAGTCAGGAAATCCAGCACATTATGGGCCAGTATGATCCAAACTTTGCAGCAATGAGTTTAGATGAGGCTTACCTTGATCTCACTGAACATTTAAAGCTAAGATCAAGTCTTTCTGAGGAAAGTAGAACATTTTATTATCGTTTCAAGGAAAACCAGTCATGCAGAGATAGTAGAGACATAAATCAGATGGTAGTCTCGAAAACAGGAAACACAGCGACGGTCACCAAATCAACTGATGAGAAGATGGTAGTCTTAGAAACAGGAAACACAGCGACGGTCACCACATCAACTGCTGAGAAGATGGTAGTCCTAGAAACAGGAAACACAGCGACTGTTAAACATGATTATCTCAAAGACATGTCCAGATATGAAATCTTTGGTGTATCTGCTGAAGAAGCAGTCAGAGAAATCAGATTTAGAATTGAGCAGAAAACTCAATTAACAGCAAGTGCAGGTATGCATATTCCCTGGCCTAACACCTGGCCCTTGTATATGTGTAATCAAATGCTATACTAAACTGCTGCAGTGTGAACAATTATTGTATCGGTATGGATTAAAGTTCTCTTGTTATTTCAATGTGATAGATTGTTGTGGAGTACATTCATATAGCCATATCCCAGTAGATCTGCTTTCTGTTTCAGTAAGGGACCTATACTATGGAACATACAAAGTTCTCTAGAAAGAATTTTAATTATTGGCTTGTTATTGGGGTTGAGTTGTTGCTGAGAAGAATGATTATAATGTATTAACATACACATTTATGGTATGTTGTACTCTGTAGGTATTGCTCCTAACACTATGCTGGCTAAGGTATGTTCTGATAAAAACAAACCAAATGGACAGTACAGAATAGAACCAACATTGGAAGCTGTCAACAAATTTATTGAAGATTTACCAATAAGAAAAGTAAGTCACAAAACTCAATTTAAAAATATTGAGGGTTTATGTCATTAAATCAAATAAGTTAATAACAGGGTTTGTAACACTTGTCTGTTTTATGACATAACTACATTCTCTGTATATATTTTTTTAAACCCTAATAGTCAATAGGTTTGAACTGTCACTTCTCAATCCTTGAGATTGCTCTGTAGAATATTAGAGTGCTAGTTGCTTTATACA